GTCGAAGAACCCGCTCCTGCTGTCGAAGAACCCGCTCCTGCTGTCGAAGAACCCGCTCCTGCTGTCGAAGAACCCGCTCCTGCTGTCGAAGAACCTGCGACTGCAAACAAGGAACCTACTTTTGCCCCTGAAGAACCCGTTGAGGCCGCAGAGGAGACCCCAACTGTCCTTGAGACCCCCAAAATCCCCGCCCCCGACGAGTCGAGTCCAGCTGTCGACGATGCTGTCGCTATTGTCGAGCAGCCTACGCCGTCAGTGGAACAACCCAGCAGCTCTGTTCCAGCTGAGACCGAGCCTCCCCTTAAGACCGCTCAGCCAGAGCCAGTACTCGCTTCTCAGGAGACCGCAGCCGAGGATCTACCGGCCACCAAGAAGGCAAAGAAGGACAAGAAAAAGAAGGGCAAGGGTTCTAAGGTTCTGGAGCCCGAGCTAGAGACTACCTCTGCCCCTGTTGCGCTGTCTGACGAACCATCTGCTCCACTTGAAGAGCCTGCATCGATTGTTCAAGAGCCTACATCTATTGCTGAGGAACCTGACGCCACCCTGAAAGACCCTGGAGCCACTGCCACCGAGGGACCAATACAAGCGCCAGTACCAGAGCCCCAAGCGGAGGAGACCTGGGATGTACCAGCCAAGGACAAGAAGGGAAAGAAGAAGAAAAAGTCCAAGGGATCTCAAGTTCTTGACTTGGAACCTACCTCTCTGTCTGCCCCTCTCGCGCCTCCTTCCGAGGAACAACCCATTGTCGCAGACGAGCCCACGCATGTCGTTGAAGACCCTGTTCCTGCTGCTGAGATTCCCAGTTCAGTCGCCGAAGGGCCTGTATCTGCAGTTCAGAAGTCTGAGGCGGTTACCCCGACTCCCATCGAGGAGACACAGCTTGCCCCCGAGCCAGTGCTCGAGGCGCAGTCGGAGGAAAGCTCGGAGACTTCAGACAAAAAGCCCAAGAAGAAAAAGAAGGGCAAAGGCTCCAAGTCCTCCAGCTCTGTGCATGAGCAAAACGCTCAGACCGAACCCGAACCCGTCTCCAGTGATGTGGTCAACCCTGCGGAAGAGCGGAGCACTGCTGTCGAAGAGTCAAGTTCTTCTGCTGAGAAAACCAAGGAGGCAGCTGAAGAGTCCAGCAGTTCTGTGGCACGCGATCTCCCCGCCGAAACAGCTCCAGAGGAATGCGTATCGACAATTGAGGCAGTCAGTGTTCCTACGGGGGAGCCGACCGCTTCTGTGCCGGAGCCTCAAGAGGCAGCCGAACATGCTACTCCTAGCGAGGAGCCTACCCCCGAGACACCTCAACAAGAGACGCAGGTCGATAATGCGTGGGCTCTTCCCGCCAAGAAGTCCAAGAAGAACAAAAAGGGCAAGCGCGCGAAGGACGCAGAGACCGTCGAAGCTGAATTAGTTCCTGCCGAAAACCCCACCAGCTCAGTGGAGGAGCCTACGCCTGTTGTAGACGAGTCCATCGAACAGCCAGGCACATCTCAAGCACCCATGCCTGAGCCCTCTTCGGATGTGCTCCATGAGCAGCAACCTATGGTTGAGGAGCCGGCGCTCACCGCCAGCGGAGAACTCAAGTCAGTTGAGCAGACTCAAGAGACACAGCCCGATGAGACTTGGGACCTGCCTGCCAAGAAGCCTAAGAAAGGAAAGAAGAAGGGCAAGGGGTCCAAGACAGTTGAGTCTGAAGATTCTGACACAAGCACGCCAGCTGTGGTTGAGGTGGAGCCGAGCCGTGTCGCGGAAGAGCAAAGCGCTTCTCAAGAACCTGGCGCTGAGATTCCGACGGAAACACCCGCTGAAGCAACCGAGCAAGCCTCATCCACTATCGTCGAGGAACCGACGCAGGTATCAGAGGCACCTGAGCAAGCCTCAACCGCTGTTGTCGAGGAATTGACTCAAATACCTGAGGCACCTGAGCAATCCTCGTCCCCTGTAGCTGAAGGCTCGACCCCCTCCACAGAACCCTCTCATGAACAACCTGAGGACATCATTGATTTACCTGTCAAGAAGTCGAAGAAGGATAAAAAGGGAAAGAAAAGGGGCTCCAAGGTCGTTGACTCCGAGACAGCAACTAGCGACGCCGTCCCCGCTACAGAAGAATCCACCACAGCCGCAGATGAACCCTCTGCTACTCAGGTTTCTGTTGCCGAGTCTTCCGAGCCTCTTGCTGAGAGTGCTACTGGGGAGCCTTCTACCGTTTTCGAAGAGACTGTCGCTGCACCTGAGGCACCCCAAGAAATACAAGCTGAGGAGAGCTTCGACCTGCCTGTCAAGAAAAAGAAGGGCAAGAAAGGGAAGAAGGCGGCTGCTCTTGAGTCGGAACCTGCTTCTGGCGCTGCCACGCCTGCCGTTGAGGAACAACCCGTGCCCATCATTCAGGAGATACAAGATCAGCAAGCTCCTACAGCAGCAGAGGTTCCCGTTATTCAGGAAGCAACCGCCCACTTGGCAAAGGATGATTTCGAGTCGCTTCCACTCACAAGTCAGACTAAGGACGTTGAGGACGGACCAAGCCAAAGCTCCAAGAAAAACAAGAAGAAGAAGAAGCGATCCCTTGTCGCAGATTCTGAGCCCGCTTCTGGCACTGTGACTCCTCACGAGCCAATTGATCCTCAGGAATCCACACTCTCAGCTCCGGTGGAGTCTTCCACAGCGCAAGAACCGATCACCGAATCGGAGGCTCCTCAAGCAAGCGTTGCTGAAGATCAACAATTACCTTCCGAACCTGAAACTCTGGTTCTCCCTCCCGAGGACGAGAAGTCGGAGCCCCTTCTTGATATTCCTGCGGTTGTCCCTTCTGAGGAGCCCGCACCTGCAGTACCTGACGAACCCGAGCCGAAGGAACCCGAGGAAAAGGTACCAGGCACCCCGGAGACCGTCCAGCCGGACTCCCAGACCGATGACACAGGAGCGGTATCAACAAAGAAAGGGAAAAAGGACAAGAAAAAGAAGAAGGGCAAGGACAAGACTTCCACCCAAGACCCCGAGTCTGACGCACCGAACGCTCCTGCGCCCGAGGCATCTGAGCCTGTTCCTGTTCCCGGCGAAGAGCGTGACACTGGCAGTCCGGACCCAGCCATCGTCGCTAGCGATGCTCAGCCCTCCGACGTTCTCGAGGCAAACCCAGAAGTACCTAGCGTTTCCGAAGTTACCCAGCCTGAGACACAGCTCGAAGCGCAGCCTGAGGCTCAGTCCGAGGAGAGTCTGGAGGGACCTGCCAAGAAGGCGAGCAAGAAGAAAAAGAAGAAGGGCAAGAACAAGACCACTGAGCTTGAGCCAGCACTCGAGCGTGAGACTGAATCAGAGGTTGTGCCAGAGCCCGGGCCAGAGCCTGCAGCAGAGCCCGCAGTCGAGTCTGCCGTTGAGCCTGTGGCTGAACCCGTGGTCGAGCAAGTCGAAGTCGCTGTGGGAACCGAACCGTCGCCTGACCTTCACGAACTGACAGGACCTAATGAGGCGTCCCTTCCTGCTGGGATAGACACGACCGGTAGCGATCAAGAGACCATCAAGGAGCCGGTCATCGAGACACCTGATGCAGTTCAACAAGTCTCGGAAACCCTTCCAAAAGAGGAGTCTGACGGCAAATCTACCACGCTGGAAACTACTTCCCATCTCGCACCAGAGCGGTCCGTCGAGCTTCCGCCGGAGGTTACCGTTGCCCCAGAGCAGGTCACCGCCGATCTCGCCGGACTCGGCGCAATCGTGATTAGCGCCGAGGCGGAGGCGGACAGCAGCACCCAGGCGCCACTTCAAGAGTCTGTCCCGGAAGCCAAGGAAACCCAGTCCAAGGAGCTTGATGTGACGCCAGAGAAGCAGCCCGAAGAGCCTGTAGCCCTTGAACTGCCGGCTAAGAAGAGCAAGAAAGACAAGAAGGGGAAAAAAGGCAAGAACAAGGCTGCTGAACCCGAGCTCGAGTCTCAGCTCGATTCTCAATTAGAGGTATCTCCGATTACGGAGGCATCGACTGCCGATGTTTCCGCCCCTGCAGCGCTGGAAATCGAGACTCCAGCTCCTACTTCCGCGGAGGTGGTTGTTGACGCTGCCGTAGCTGCGAGTGTTGGTGTCAGTCCAAGTGCTGCCCCCGAGTCTGGCACAACAGCCCCTGAAGAGTCTGCTACCGAGCCCGTCGCTGGACCAGCCGCTGCAGCCCTGGCTGAACCGACCCCGACCCCGGATGTTGGTCAAGAGCTTCAGGAGGACCTTTGGGCGCTACCAGCCAAGAAATCAAAGAAGGCCAAGAAACGCAAAGGAAGCAAACAGGTCGAGGCCGAACCCATCGCTGAATCGGAGACCCCTAAAGCGCTCCCTGAAGAAGCCGCGATATCCCCCGCCCCTGAGCCCGCGGTAAACCTTGCTCAGTCAGCTGCCGGCGAGTCCCCAGCGGAGCAGCCCACTCAGGAAGGACTGAGCACGGACACCTTCCAGGATGAGACAACCATAACGTCAGACGAGAAGGGCAAGCAACCCGCAGCGGTAGCTTTCGAGCCCGAGTCTGATACCCTCGCAGGCCCTGCGGCAGTATCAACCGCCACCGAGCAGGTCACCGATGTTCCCGAGCCACGGGACGTGTCACTGGACGATGAGGAGGAGGCAATCTTTGGCGGGCCGAGCCGCGAGGGCAGCGATCCGTCGGCCAACAATGAGCCCGTCGTGCCTGACCCCGTCACCGAGCGTGAAGTGCAATCTGCCGCCGGCAGCAGCGCTACAAAGTCAAAGAAGGGCAAGAAGAAGGGCAACAAAATTGCTGCTGCCATTGCCATGTTCGAGGCAGCTGCTGCGACGCCTGCCGCGGTCAAGCATGAGGTCTCTACTAGAAAGTCCAAAGCCGCGCTCCGAGTCGAGGAGCCGACGACGGTACCGGAGCCAGAGCCTGTGCAAGCCGGGACGATGGTAGATGCTCCCGAGCAGGTGCGGGTGGAAGAGACGGCTGCGCTTCCGGAGCCTGCAGAAGTTGAACAGTCAACTGGTGTTGCCGAGGTGGTGGCTGCGCCTGCCGATGAGCCGACTGTAGTCACGGAGTCCGTTCGGGTGCAGGAGCCAGTCGCCATTTCCGAGGTTGTGCGCGATGAGTCAGCTGTTCCTCACGATCCTCTGCAAGTCGAGGAGCCGTCTGTCTCCTCGGAGCCAATACCAGTTGAGAAGACGGCTGCTTCCACGCAGCCAGTACATGTTGAGGAGCCATCCGCGTCCTCGGAGCCAGTACAAGTTTCGGAGACGGCAGCTCCCTCGGAGCCGGTCCAGGTCGAGGAGCCAGCCGCCATTACGGAGGTTGTGTACCCTGACCCAGCCAGTCCTCCTAGTCTTCCGCACATCGAGGAGCCATCTGTCCCCCCGGAGTCAGTACCGTTCGAGGAGTCGGCTGCCCCCTCGGAGCCAGTACCAGTTGAGGTGACGGCTGCCCCTTCAGAGCCAGTGCAAGTTGAGGAGCCAGCCGCCATTCCCGAGGTTGTGCACCATGAGTCGACTGCCCCCTTGAATGCTCCGCAAGTCGAGGAGTCTTTTGTCCCCTCGGAGCCAGTACAAGCTTCGGAGACGGCAGCTCCCTCGGAACCAGTCCAAGTTGAAGAGCCAGTCGCCATTTCCGTGGTTCTCCACCCTGAGTCGGATGGTACTCCCATTCCTCCGCATGTCGAGGAGTCGGCTCTCCCCTTGGAGTCAGTACAGGTTGAGGAGCCAGCCGCCATTCGCGAAGTTGTGCACCATGACTCGGCTGGTGCTCCCCAGCTTCCCCGTGTCGACGAGTCGGCTGCCTCCTGGGAGCCAGTACAAATTGAGGAGCCAGCGCAGGTTGAGGCGGTTGCAGAACCAAGAGAAGTTCTCCCGGCCGATGCGTCTACCGCTGTTCTTGTCGCAGACGACGCTCCAACAGAAGAGGCAGCGCCAAAGGAAGAAGAGGTTGCCGAGTTCAGCGTCAAGAAGTCCAAGAAAGAAAAGAGAAAGAAGGGGAAGAAGACTGATGTCGCTTCCGCGTCTGGCTTGGATACAACGCAGGATGCGGAGATTTCCGGTACCGACATGCTAGCCTCGGCAGCACTTGGCGCTGCTGTTGGTGCGGGAGCTGCTGCGCTCGACAGCGAGAAGGCGACTTCACAGGAGACTAGCGAAGAAAGCTCCAGTCTCATGCGCAAGAAGAGCAAGAAGGGCAAAAAGAAGAACAAGGATGTTGCAGCGGTGGAAGAGGAGGCACCAGTCATTCCGAGTCCCGCAGATACTAGCAGGGAGACTCACGATACCGCCGTTGAGCCCGAGAAGAAGCCAGAAGTGGCCGAGCCTGTCCCCTCCGTCGCAGCTGATGAGCCCAGCCACAAACCAAGCAGTAGACTGGCAAGTCCCCTCGTCGAGACGGTCAGTCTCGACCCAGTCTCGGATGCTCTGCAAATGTCGCCAGTCACAGCTCCCACCCCACCGACAATTGGTCTCGGTTTGATTCCAAACCTGCCAGAGCTCTATCCCCCGGATGCGCCGTCACCCAAACTCCTCTCGCCTTTACCGACACCCCAGATGGAACAACTGGCCGGCGGCCAACTCGGCCAGGTCGATCTCACGCCCGCACAGGAAAGCAGCCACATATCTCACGACCCGCCTTTCGACTATGAGGCCCATCGGAAGAAGGTCAGGACAGAGGAGGCGACAGACTCGGCCGAGATCCCGCAGCCTGTAGTCTCGGCTCGTGAGGTCGACGCTTCGTTCAGTGATGGTACGGATAAGGACAAGGGCTACGAAGAGGTCAGTGCGAAGGGTAAGGATAAGGAGGAGGTGCAGGCGGATGCGGGTGTGGAGGATGATGCAGCCATTGCTACAGCGGCGAGCGCCCTTACCGGAGGCGTCTCGCTACTGGCGGAAAAGTTCGGTAGCACCGGGAAAAAGAAAAAGAAAGGTAAGCAGAAGAAGTCAGTGAGCGACAAGGGGATGCCAGAGGAGGAGGAGGGTGACTTGTTTGATGACCCGGCTTTGTGGGAGGGGACGGACAGAAAACCGGTTGAGGGATCAGGGGCCGACGTGGACTTGGAGAATGTTGGGGGTGTTCCTGCTGGTGAGGTGGCCAAGTCTGAGGAGAAGGTTGTGCAGAGTACGGTGGAATTGGAGGAACCGGCAAAGACGGAAGATATCCAATTGGAGAGAAGGACGATAGTTGAGGAGGAAGCAGGGCGAATTGTGGAAGCTCGGGAGCCTACAATGGAAGCGGCGAAACAGCAGCACGAGACAGAGGACAAGAGCATGGAGATGGTTAAGCAGACAACCGAGGAGGCGAGCACCGAGTCTCGGGGCCTGCCTGAGGGTTCTGGCTTGGGAAGGATGGACTCGGAGACGATCCCCAGGTCGCTCAGGGATCTATCAACAGCTGGGGAGCCGTCAAAGAGGGGGAGGAAGGAGCGTCGAAGGTCAAGGACGCCGTCGCCGGAGCCAGTGCAGCGAGCGTTTTCATTCCCCGACGACATTGCAGACGAAGAGGCGTTCACTACGAGAGATGTCACAGCGGACGACAACGAAAAGGGCCAGGCCGAGCTCGCGGCAGACCAGCCAGTGCGTCTTCCCCCCTTGGGCAGCATCACGGAGTTTATGCGCTCTCAGACTAGTCTGCCACCGGTGCAAGAAGAAGTCTCGGACGAGGAGCCGGCCAACAAGAAACACACAAGACCGACAACGCATGGAACTCGACGCATCCTAGCCACCCCTGACGCCGGCCGAGACAGCGGGTTCGGATCCGACTCACCTCGTGTGTCGCGACACATTCCCGGTGGCAATGAAGGTCTCCGCGACAGCGGGGTGCATCTGCGCGAGTCAATGTCAATTGAGGAGACACCACTTCGAGACAGATACAGGTCTTTGTCGCCAAAGGTGCCCCCCGAAGACGAGCGACGTCTAGGTCGACGATCTCCATTGAGTGGTCACGCCAGAGTCATTGGGCCAGAGACTCCTCGGCTGCACGAGCCCTCATCGCCGCTGCCATACTCGCCTGAGCAAGAAAAGTTGCAGGTCAAGAAGCAGCGGGGGACAATTTCCACTAGTGCTGGTGTTGGTGCTGCTGGTGCTCCTACTATGGCTGCAGGTGCCTCTGTGGCTTCCCTTCGCAGCGTGTCGGATAACGCTGGCCAAACGCCAAGGCCCACTGCCGATGGCCAGCTGCGGCGGATGTCGTCCAATACCAGCATGGCCCGCCTGCGCACGCCAGAGCCCGTGCAGCCCCTGCGACTTGACAGCCCCGGCAGTCTCCGCTCCTGTACGGGCACGCCCCCACTCTCTCTGCGCAGGATGGACAAGCGTGCCAGTGGCGACCTGCGGTCCGTGTCCCTCAGCCAACAGGACCTAGCCGCCAAAGCCAGACAGCAGCAGCACCAGCAACAAAACGAGCGCCCAGCCACTCCACTGAAAAAGCCAGCCACTCCCACTCCCACCGCTACCACTGCCACTGCAGCCGGTGCCGCTGCTGCACTGGGAGTGCTCGCTGGCGCCGAGCTTCTTTCGTCGGCTTCAAAACCTGCACCACCACACAGTGCCACGCCCGTTGCGAATGAGGGCCGCGTCCGAGCCAAAGACATGACCGATGTCTTTGTAAGTTTGATTTTTTTTTTTTTTTTGATTTTATTTTATCAATTTGTGTATCATTGCTGACCCGGCCTAGGATGGCTATGGCGAGGGCCGCATCGGCTCGCCGCGCTCACCGACTCGGCCGCACAGCATGCGCCGCCGACAGAGCATGCAGGTGCTCGAGCTCGAGTCGCGCGTCGAACAGCTGCTTGCTGAGAACCGCATGCTCACCGAAGCCCGTGCCCAGGCCGAGCTGTCATCGAGCCACCGCAATGCCAGCGCCCTGGCCGAGCGCGACTCCGAGATCGAGTCGCTTAAGCGCATGTTGCACGAGGCAAACGAGGTCATTGAGCGGTTGAAGCAGACAAACGAGGGCCTGCGCAGCTCCACCTCGGCCATCGCCGTCAAACACCGCGAGGAGGTCACCCGTCTCGAGACCGAAAACGCCCGCACCGCCAAGGAGTTGCAACTAGCCCGCGACGCCGCTGCCCAGCAAGCCCGTACCGTGCAAGACAAGGACGCCGAGATAGCCCAGCTGGTTGCCCAGCTCGAGTCGACCAAGGACCAGATCCGCGAGCTGCAGCAACGAATCCTCGAACAGGCCAAGCCGTCCGACGACGCCGACTTCCTCGAGCTGCACGATATCGACTACTTTGACCACCGCTGCCAGCAGCTGTGCGCCCACGTGCAGCAATGGGTTCTGCGCTTCTCCAAGTTCAGCGACATGCGCGCCTGCCGGCTGACGTCGGAGCTCAGCGACGAGAAGCTCATTGACCGCCTCGACAACGCCGTGCTCGACGGCACCAACGTCGACACGTACCTCAACGACCGCGTGCGCCGCCGCGACATCTTCATGAGCATGACCATGACCATGATCTGGGAGTTTGTCTTTACGCGCTACCTCTTCGGCATGGACCGCGAGCAGCGCCAGAAGCTCAAGCAGCTCGAGAAGCAGCTGCTCGAGGTCGGCCCGCCCCACGCGGTCCGCCAGTGGCGCGCCGTGACCCTGACCTTGCTTTCGCGCCGCCCGTCATTCAAGAAGCAGCGCGACCAGGACACCGAGGCCGTCGTGCAGGCCATCATGGACACGCTCGCCAAGATCCTGCCTCCGCCCTCCAACCTCGAGGAGCAAATCACCACCCAGCTCCGCCGCGTGGTCCGCGAGGCCGTCGCCCTGGCCATCGAAATGCGCTGCCAGCGCGCAGAGTACATGATGCTCCCGCCGCTGCAGCCCGAGTACGACGACACGGGCGAGCTGACCGAGACGGTCGCCTTCAACGCCGCCCTCATGAACGAGGCCAACAAAGGCCAGGGCGGCATGACCAATGAGGAGCTCGAGGCGGCCAACGCGACCGTCCGCATCGTGCTGTTCCCGCTAGTCCTGCGCAAGGGTGATGATGCGGGCAGAGGGGAAGATGAGATCGTGGTTACCCCGGCCCAGGTGCTCGTGGCGAATTCTGGTGGTGGTGGTGGGCGGCATCATCATCATCATAGCAGCAGGCCGAGCAGTAGTGGTATGGGGGATAGCAAAGGGAAGGGGGCTGTGAGGATGCCCACGCCCAGCTCTGACGCGGGCGGTGTTAGTTTGCTGGCGAGGAGTAACCTTACCGCTGCCACCACGGGTACTACTACTGCCGCCGCTGGACAGCAGCTGGACAGGAGTGCTGGTGCTGGTGCTGGTGCGGATCCCCGCAATATTCAGGGCGCGCAGAGTGACCTTAGCATGGCTGAGGCTGGTGGGTATCTTTGATGGGCTACATATCAGGAATGGTTGGTTGTCGTTAGATGGAGGGGGGCGGGGGGGATGGGGAGGGATATTATTGGGAAATGAAATTCCTTCTTCTTGCCTTTTTACATTTTCTTTCTTTCCTAGTTTCGTCTCTCTCATCATGTCTTGTGTGGCTTAGTGTTGCTTGCTTTCTCTCAGTCGGAGTTGGGGGTCTGTTTTTTTACTGATGATGACGGGATGGGGAATAAAAGGGACAGGGGATGCATGATACATCTATTTACGCGCACTTGGGGTCTTCAAAGATGTTCTAATTGTGTGTTTCTGTCATGATATTGCTTTGCTATTATGCGTTTTCATGCCGTCCGTTCTGTTTTTTGTATCTTGAAAAGCTTGTCTGACTTCCGAATTCTCTTGAGTTGTACTGGCCTCTCTGAATCCTGGCGTGCTTCTATTCAGTTACATGTTTTCCCGGGCCGGATGGATAGATGGTGGACGGTCTAGCGACGAGCAGATCGTGGATTGGATGTGCTAATGAGTGATGACCTGAATGAGACTATTCTAGATAGGTACTGGTAGTCATTGCTATTTATGTTGCAGATGGTACTACTTCCTGAAGCACTGGAATATGTTCGTGAATCTCCTTTGGAGTTTTGGCGTTACAGCTTAGTACAAGTAAACGTTCAATTCACAACTTGACCGCTGCCTAGTGAGGAGCATCCATTTACGTGTTGATTTTCTAGGCAATTACTAGGAAAAACCTGACGCCTAGCTAAAAGGTAGAACTACCCAAGTCAGCAGACACCTTGTCTGCCAGCCTGGCGAGACGTCTTGTAGCGTGTGCTTTGCATTCCTGCGCATTGATCCCCTGCTCCTACTTCTATGCCCTCTCGTCCTCCGTTGGTCAAACCGTGTCTGTGTCTTTCTGCCCTGGTATGCGTTTCAACCAAGACGGCCGATCAAAGACCTCCTCCCACTCCCAAGAGTCCCACCACTCCGCCACACTCTTCCAGTAGTTCCAGCCCGTTATTGCGGCCAGGGAGACAAATGTGAGTGGGAGGGCAATAGCAAAGTACAGCCATTTAGGCGTTGTCTCGGGCGAGATTTCCAGTACATTCATGCCGAACAAGGAGGACACGAAGGAGAGCGGGACATAGACTGTGGCGAGTTTTGAAAGGTGCCTGTTTGGAGTGTCCTAGTTAGTCCTATTTCTTAGAACGACAGCCTGTCTAGACACCAGACACGAGGGGCTTATTATGCTGACCCGAGCCTGTGGGACTGCTCTATTGACCTTTCCGTTTCCTTGATGGAGCGGATACTTGCTAGTAAGCTGATGTGCTGATGGACTGTGGCTAGCTGGCGCTGGACGTGGTTGATCAAGTGGTCAACATCGGCAGCCAGGTCCTTCATGATGGAGCGAGCCCGAGTCCCCTTTTTACAGCGTAACGTTGCGCATCCGCCAGATTGAAGGACCCGGGCTGACTGTGTGAGATCATCCAGGATAAGCTTGAGAGCTTCATTTTGAGTTATGCGATCCTCTATGTATATGTCGCCAAGAAATTCAGTTTTGTGAATCTCATATTCGTCTAAGCGCTCGAGATCATCGAAATCAGCTGATATTGCTCGCCAAGCGCCAAGCATTGACTTGGTAATGGCGCAGAGAAGAAGTGCCGGGTCCTCGACTAGGGCATGGCGGAAGTATCTGCCTTGATGGCCGACCAGCTGCTCAAGTAAGATGTTCCTGAAGGATGGGTTATAGTGGTCCAAATCGTACTTGGTGGACTTGTTGAATGGCGCTGCCCCTCCATGAGTTGGCGGAGAGGGATCAGGGCGGTGTCCCGGCGGTCCAGCCGACAAATTCGTCGAAGAGAATGAAGGGATTATGTCGAACAGAGGGCGACGTATTGGGGGTCGATCAGGTAGTGTCCAATGTAATGCCCATCGAGAATCTGTAGGACTGGCTCCTGGTGAGTCAAATAACAATATCCCTGCGTATCTCTGAATTAGACTACCTGACAGTGGCTGGGAGATAGCTTAATGCAAGGTACTGACCAACACTAGTATGCGTGCTCTTTGTATCGGAGATAGGTACTACAGGTAGTATTGTGCCTGACACTCTCTCCTCGAGCATCCCAAGTTGAGCAAAACTCCTGATAGTATGAAGCTGACGAAACATTGACCGCTTCTGCTGGATGGACTCGATGATTTCTGGGCCGAGGTTATGGCCAAGGGTCCTTCGGAAGGGTAGCGAGAAAAACGGAAAGGCTCCCTTTTCACTCGGTGTGTATACATCTGGATGGGCTGTTGAATGGGGCTCAGAAGGGTAGAGTTCTGGTTTAAGTGGTTTAGTTGGTTTTCCATCGTGGCCAATGTATTCCTCTTTTCTTGCACCTGTCGTATACATGTGGTGCGCAAAGAATAACGGGTTGCAGTCGTATGCGCTACCTAAGACCTCGATAACGGGAGCAGTCATGTCCTCGACGAGAAAAAGCCTCAGGGCAACATCTTCTGGGATGGTGTCGACGACTGCAAATCGCTTGAGAGTTTCAACGTTGTCCACGTGTCCAATTCTCGGCAGCTGATCTGGATTCAGCTTCACGTCTGCCACAATGACATTGACCGCGGAGTAAGTGGTCCATGTGAGGCAGGTAGTTAACGGCGGATACTTTCCTGTCAGGAGTCTTGCGAGAGGCCTCAGCTCGTAGTGGGAGACGCTAAGCGCAGTATTGAATCGTCGAGTCAGTCGGGTCCGTTAGAACTCGGGAAGAAAATGCGACGAGGGAAGAAATCAAGTCGTGTATATTTGGGCACACGAGCATAGTACCTGAACTTAGCAACGTAGGCGGCATAGAGACCAGACTCCTCCGGCGGGTTGGACTTTGGTTGGAGTTCAGCAGGGGCGGGAGTTTGATCGTTTTTGATGCTATTGTCAGATTTTGCCAGGGTTGTCCCGGTATAGATGCAACCGGCTTGGAAGTTGGAAATACGTGATATCAGGAGTAGAGGGTTAGCCTGAGAAGCTGGAAAGTATTACACTGGCCCGAAGTTGTGCCTACTTAGTTGGAGGCCTCGGAGCCTCGAGGTGGCTGACACTCACCCTTTCCTGTATAGGTATCACGCTCGACAACGGGCCGGCAGTGTCTTGACAGCCCTGACGAGCGCCTCACAGTCCAAGCTCCGTTGGCCCGACAGCTTCCGTGTCTCTTCCTCCAACCACGCAATCACTTCCCTGTAGCCAGTCTGCTTCCTCACCAGGACCTGTCTAAAGGCCACCATGGCAAGCCTACCGACAAAGAGGACAAGGGTTTAGCGGTACGCATTCCAAGTTGCTTGTCCGGGGGAGAGGAGGAACCAATCAATGGAGAAAACTCACCAAGCCACCTCCCCCTTGTTAACAGCACACTTATAACCCGGGTACCGCTCCCTCCTGGACCTGCTGGTCAGCAGCACAAACGAGACGTCAATCAGCGTCTTGATGGTGTCTAGGACCAAGACGAAAGATTGAATCATCAGCCAAAGATTCACAGACTAGGGAAACGAGGAACACTTACCAATCACAAGCCCCGAGCCTGGCCGGCCGGCCGCCATGCACCGTGCATAGGCCCACATCTTGGTGGCCGTCTCGACAAACGCCGTGTAGATGTTGGCCAGCACCGTCCGCCGCCGGTTGTGCGACGTGTCAAAGAACATGAGGTGGGATTGGATCTTGAAGGCGTCTAGGAGATGGTAATTAGCACCGTCCTGCGATAAAAAGCACCGCAAGTATATGAACAGCAGGAAAAGGAATGGCCAACGGATCAAGGAGAGCTCCTAGCTTACTCAGTACTTTACGCTTGAAGTTCTGCCCTGGGCATCGTGAGAACTCGACCGTGAGCGAGTTGAAGATTGCTGGGCCATGGTCAGTTGCAATTCAAATCGACAAAGAAAAGCCAAGTAAATGCGTACCAGAACCCTTCGAACTGATATCCCTCTGCTTGGTCACAGCCAACGTCTCACAGTCAATCAAGAGCCCGCAGTACGGAAACATCCGGCTGTCATCCGGCCGGGGCACATGTACGCCTCGCACTTCCAGGGGAAAATTGGCCAGGCTCTTTGCCGGGTTGACGGTGACGCCGTATTCGGGCAGGCCGCCGTGCATGACCCTGACAAATTTGCCTGCCTTTCTCTGGTCCGTGGTGATCAGCAAGAAGTCGTCGATCAGGCGCAGGAGGAGGCTGTCGTCAGCCTGCAGGAAACCGAGATGGTTCCGTTCCAGGTCCGCGTAAAAGTAGTTGCAGAGCATCGACGAGAGGACTGACCCCTGCGGGATGCCGCTCTTTTGGCGGTAGTACTTCTTGCCGATGCGGACCAGGTTTTCCTCAATGTGCGCGGTGGTGAGCGCCAACAGGTCCCGGGTGCTGTGCTTCTTCCGCACAGTGCTGTCGACGAAGACGGTGCCTCTCTTCTTGGCTGCGATCGACTTTTCGATTCTCTCTAGAAAAGTCCTAGTGTCGCTGCTGGTTCTGGCCACTATATGCCATCGCTTGGCCGCTTTGGCGACGGCGCCGCTGCCAAATGCAGCCTCCAGCAGCCGCACCTCGACGTGTTTTGACATTTCATACTCCGACTGCCGCGGAATCCGCTTCAGCAACGCAATCATTGCGTCCTGGGGAATCGTGTCGAAAGCCGCCTGGACGTCCACCTTGGCGAAGTAGAGCTCATGTTTTCCTTCGCCGAGCCTGCTTTTGAAATCTTTGATGCGTTGGTAAATGTCTCCCACGGAGAAGAGTGACGAGCCCAAACGGGCTGCATTGAGCGACTAGTAGCAACGTCAGAGGCGTACCTTCACATCACAAAATCAACCGGGTAATCCCACCTTTTCGAGTTCCAACACCGAATTGACTGGACCCAGAACCGTGTTGATGCTGGGACCTAGCATCGTTTTGCCGTTTCCTCTGAGGATCGCTCGCCGCCGCAGGTTCATGATCGGGCGCAGCGTTGTCTGTTTAGGAAGGAGTCGCAACTGGGAAACGCCGAGGCGACGAGACTGCAGTATCCGGAGAGCATCGTCTATCCTCACCTCCTCAAACATGTTTGTTTTCAAAGCTGCCATGGCCGGCTCGGCCACATATCGCCAAACGTCATGGCGGAAGAAAAAGAGCTGGTATCGGTTGGCACTAGACTCGGTGACATAAAAACTGCTGCGGATCAGGGGTATCAAGAATGAATCAAACAGATAATACAGGAATTCGTAAAGTATTTCAGTCCGCTTCCGCGTGTCCGACTGGGAGCTTTTTTGATTTTGGAGTCCTGGAGGCGTGAGCCAATCTATGTCACGTACCTGCGAAGTTGTCAACATGGTGCAATGACATCCGGGCGACAGTTCCTGTCCCTACTTTTATTCCGTCCATTACTTCATGAAGCGACATGCTCTCAAAGCGACGGAGATGGATGAAGTGGTGAACCTTCTTCAGGAAGCACGCCTTGTTGTGCTCCTGTGTAGGACCCTGGCCCCAGAATTCATTGGGGATGACTTTTGAAATTACCGCCCGACAGAAAGCAGAAACGCTGGACGCCGGGGTAGCAAGTTCAATGACCGATGCATACTGAAGCTCTGGGATAGAATTCGCTGGTGGTTTCGACTTCTTTCGGCCCTTGGCAGTTTTGGCCGACTGCAAAGCCTTACTACTTGAGACTGTCTGGGCCTTTCTCTTGCCGTCCACCAGCCCCTGAACCTGGTCATTGTCAGCAAGGCAATCTTCCTCATGGTGTTAGGACTGCTCACCGGACAGTAATGCTGCAGCATCTCCGAGTAGGCGCAGCGTCCGTGGAGTATCTGGAGTCGTTGAGTCAGGTGTTTGACGGCGCCTCTAAGTCTCTTCGGGACGTGTATGGAAGGCTTTCCACCCTCGCCTAATGCTGGAAACCTCTTTGCTATCTCCTCTTCCCGAAGGGTATAATCGTGAAATTTCTGAGCTGTCTGTTGACGGTCCACTGGCGAGATAAACACGTTGTGCAGTCCAAACTGGCGCGGAAACATATACATCATGACGTGCACAGCATTTTCATTAGGCCGATCCGTTCCAGCGGCGGATTGGGGCCTGTAGGGATAGCGATTCAGAACGTCTAGAGGTGTAAGCTGGGTGTTATTACTGGGTAAAATGCAAACGGGGTTCAACATACGGATATGGCGCAGTCCGAATTGCACGAGGCCGCGAGCATTGAGAGAAGCTCTGGCATAGAGCATCCTACTTCTCACAAAGGTTATTTCTGACGGCCGGAGCTCAGCATCTTTTGAGCCTGCGATCTGCGACCTAGGCGCTGTTTTGTTCGCAATTGGCACTACAGGCTCGAGCTCTGAGATCGGAATCCCGCTCAGTTGGTAAAGGTTGTCTTTTCCGGCTTTCACAGGCCGGAATATAGCACCGTCCACCAGGAGGTCAATCATGATTCTTTCCCCTGCTTCCCCCAGCAACATGAGCAGCTGAGGCCAGGGAGGCTCCTTGAGAGCCTGCACATGCTGATTAGGGTAGATGGAATACAAGCCCGGAATATGGCTCGCTAAGTTTTGAGGACCGGCACTGACGGCCGAGCCGGGCTGTCTCCGAAAGCCATCGCAGAGCAAGTGCTTCGGCCACGGGCCGGAACTGTTGCGGGAGAAGAGGAACCAGATTACAAAGTCAACGATCTTTTGCGCATGACCTTGTGAGTTACAGCGTCTAACAGGTTGTTGTTTGCCTATACCACTGACTTACCTCCGACTGAGAGTATAGGGATCCCTGGAGACCATCCGAGAGAGTCACATAGGACTTATCCCCTTTCTGGGAGAAGCTGACCCAATGCTGCCACCGGTAGTCTTTGGGGTCACCAGCATGCTCGCGGCTCGCGACAATGGTTGTGTCCAAGAGCTCTTTCAGAGCAAGCTCCTCTTCGGTCAAGGCCTTCTCAGAAGAGGTGCGTTGACCTACCAGAGCAATCTTCTTCCGTCGGAGACGTGAAGAGGCCGGCAGTTTCGAAAGGACGTACTGTCGCAGCGTCTCAATTTCAGCGTAGTATTGGGCTAACAACGCATGTCCGGCAATGGTGGGGTGTGCCGCATTCTCGCGTTTGAGGTGTTTCGCAGGTGGATAAGCGGAGCCGTCATGACCTCGGCCGGGACCTTGGCTTCGGCTCCTCTTCCGGGGCATCGGCACCGAAGCAGCATCCATATGATGTGTAGGAATGATGACTTGACAAGTTGCTGGGCTCAAGGGTTCGAAATGCGCCTCTCCAATAATTCCCGGCTGCGAGAATCAACCCCTGGAATCCTGGATGCATTCATTGAGTTGGAGGATCTCGTGAAGGACCCTATCAGCGACGGGCAAACATGTGCTGGCGATTGATTGGGCGTGTCGGCGCGGGATGTTGAATGGATTGGGAACTCCAGGGTTTCTTCTTTTTCCCCAATTCTTCCGTCGACTGGATGAGCAGGTCCGCGCTTGGTGATTGGGCGTGCGGCGCAGAAACCTTCAACAGGCAACAAGCACCGAGCCTGAGGCGGGCAACTGGCAAGCCAAGGCGCTGGTTGTGGCCTTGCCGCACTGGGCTGGATGCCACAGGGAATCAGAGACGGCTTGGGCGGATCTGTGTGGGTGGTGTGGGTTGTGTGTGCGGCAACGCGTCGGCGCGTCGGGGAAATGGCTCAAGCCTCAAACGGTCGGCCTAACCTAAGTACACCAACGTCAAAGTTAAACTTTCTTCGTCGGTGTCGGGCATTGGTTTCGAGATGCGCATGAGTGGTTGCAATGCTGCGCTGCTGCTGCTGCCGTCTCTGATTGCTTGCGTTGTTCAAGCAACGACAATGTCACTAGAGGAAGTTTCAAGGACGAAAGGGGTCCGTCTTTAGGTGGTATCTATCGACAGAGCGCAGAGAGGCCGGCGCGGCAGAGGCACAGCTGCAGCGGCTCTCTGGGGTAATCGTAATCGGATTGATGATCTAGCGCTGCGTCATTGGGCAGCCACACAGCATCGTCGGCTTTTTTCACCTCATTTCATCATTTTCATGCTTCGCGGAAGTGTTGGTCCACCGGTCCAGTATCAGCGATTTGCTGTCGAGCTTCCTCTTCAAGCACACCTAAGGTAGGTACCTAGGCGAACGGAGTGGGGCATGAACATTGCACTGCTGCACCGGTCGGGACCTAAGGATGGTGCTTCATTTGCGCAGTTTGGATGAACTGGGGAGTTATGTAGGTAGATGGGATGAGTTACTGTAGGACTCAAAGGTAGCTTCGTAATTTCGTACAAAAGACAACTCGAAAGGAACTGGAAGTTGCCGCCATGGGCTTTCTATGATTACGACCTACTGTGGTAAGTGTTATGTAATCAAGGTACTGTAACCTTAACGAACCGAGTTCCAATCGATTGACCAAGCTTTTCGTTCTCCATGAAGCAACGCGGAAAGGGGGAAGGGAAGAAGAAACTTGAAGAGAAAGTGCAGTTCGAGCTTTGAGTTTGGTCAGAGCATCAGAAACACCTTAGACAGCTTCAGGAGAGACTTGGGAACCCAGACTCGCTCCATTCTATCAACCCCTCTAGCTTCCCGTCGCCCAGATACTGGACCCCGGCAAAACATTCATGCTGCAATGTGTCAATGGCCCTGGCACGTCATATTAATATGAGGATCTCGGAGCCTTGGACCTTGCGATAATTACACATACGAAGGTAGCCAACTCAGGTTATAATTGTGGACTGGAATTCGAATTGCATCAGGGCCCTCGGACAAACGAAAAAGAAAGAATTTTGAAAAGGACGTCCTGCTTGACGAGAAAACTTGAACCACGTCACGGAAGGCTGCTGCAGGCAGAAACGCACTAGTGTTCACCAAGAAGCGGTGTCCTTACCAAGCGGCTATCTGCGCTAACTAAGGTAACTTTGGCAGTGTTTGCCTTATCTACATCCGTACAGGTTCTAAATAGTGTAACTTTCATTTCAAGTGCAGTAACACAAACTTACAATACCAACGGTCAATTTAGGCAAGGCTTGTGGTTGGTTTCCTGGCAGTGGTTGGAGTGGATTGCGGGCTGCAGCGAGTCTCCAGTCGCTGAGCCAGCTGGTTAGCGGATCGAGGCGTTTCCTCGCCAGGGCTGCCCCGGGTGCTGCCAGGTTGTTTTGGACAGCCAATCCTCGTGCACGCCAGCACAGCAACGCCGACAGGTCCCGACATGCCGCCTCGATTGCGGTAACCCCAACCCCAGGCCTGCCCACATGCAATCTCGATGATCTCTGGAACCTGGAAACCGGCAAATCCTGTTCGCTCCCTGACGAGGCCTGCGCAGAAACGGCCAGCGTTACTCTAATTAACTAGAGTGATGGGACGGACACCATGGACCATGGTAGTCTCGGAGACGAGGCCGTTTCACGCCCCAGCCCGCTCTTCGACCAGCGCCCAGCGCGAGATCAATCCCCCCATTCACGCCATTCACACCGTTCACACCATTCAACCCATTCGGCACACTCAAGGCACCCGTATCTCGACGGCTACGACGGCCTGAACTCGCTTGTCGCCCAGACAATCTCTCCCGATTCCCATGCCGCCGACAACTCGCACGCTCATGCCGCCAATTCGCGCTTCAGCCACTCGACGACGACAAGTGCTCCCGACGACTCTGTAGAACCCGACGATTTTTACCGCAGCTACTACCGGGACGTCCAGACCACCGGGAATGCCACCTCGCCGCCACTGAAGGACCCCATGGCTTCGGCCGTCTCAAGTCCCCGCCAGCCGCCCTCGCTACGGTCGAACGGCAGCGGCACCACACCGAAGCACTCGTCGATCCCGACTCATCGCAATGCCCTCCGGTCTAGCCAACGTTCCACCTCGAGCCCCATTGACAACCGGCCTGTGACTTCTGGGAGCGCGGCAGGAAACGGCTACAATGGAGGCGGCACTGTTCCCACGAGTGTGAAGGACCTCAAGAAGAAGTTTGACCAGCCGGCGTCACGATCCCCCACGAGCGCCCGAAAGGCGTCCTCAAAACCAGCTCGAGACACCACTTCGAGCAACCTAGCAAATGGCCGACCGTCTGGTAGCGGAGCCAGTGCGAGACAAGACGCGGAAAGGACGGTCGGGACACGAGGAGCTCATAGACCGAAAGTGGTGACAGATAATCCGTCTGCCAGTTCGCAGTCGTTCGCTAGTAGAGTAGCGAGGCCTCGCAACGGCGCTTCAACCAATCTAACGGCATCCCGCTCGACAACCCAGCGCTCTTCAGGCGCCGCGTCCGGGACAAGGAGCTCACAGGGAAGCCAGTCACGCCAAAACGGTCTTCTTTTTGGCGAGATACTCCCAGACGAAAACGACTCGGTCACCGCTGGCTTTGGAATCGACGACGTGCGGCCACGGAGGGCCTCTGAGTCCAGCACCCACAGTCCCGCAGCATCGCAGATGGGCACCCCGTCAGACCTGGACCTTGAACCGACATCCCCCACCGAGTGGTATCGCGCCGCGAACTCAGGCGGGCAATCCGGTCATGATCAGCATGCCTCCAAAATCCCAACAACCCACACTCGAACCCACAGCGACATTGCCGGTTCGAAATTGACCGTGAGCCGTGCAGATTGTGGTGCAACGAGGCACGACACTGATTCCCCAATGTCTCCCGCATCACCGGCATCGCCAACGTCGCGCCTTCCAGTGATGGTTAAAAGGAGGAGCGACACATCGGGCCACACCAGCCCGGTCTCGACCCGCTCCAGCTCGCCTTCCACTTTCAAGCGCACCACTGCCAGTGGGAGATCACGTCAGCAGCTCTTGTCTGCCTCACGGGCCAAGACGCCCACCGGCCACCCCGCAACCCAGCCCAAGAATTCGACCCTAAACCCCAGCTCATCCCGCAAGGCTCCTCCATCAAATATTTCCACCCCTCAGAGTCATGGTCGAGTTAATGCGTACGTGTCGGTACCCGCACCAAAACTCTCACCAAGCCTCCGCAGCTCTCGGCCCCGGCAATCTGTTGCAACTGCTACAACGGCTTCGTCGAGAAAGCGAGTTACCGAAGGTGGCGCCTCACCCACAAAGCAGTCACAACGGCTTGGCAGCAAGGCAGACGAGGCGACTCCGCGGAGGCGAAAGCTATCTGTTGGACCGATTGACTTCGCGCAGCGACGAGAAACCATCAAGCTTGCTTATAGCAAGTCGATCCGAGAGAGTCAGGCCAGGGAAGCAAGGCAGGCAGCTGCCGAGAAGCGGAAAAGAGAGCTAGCTGCAGTGGCCAGGGCCAAGGCAGAGGCTGAAGCCGTCGCGGTGGCAGCAGTTGCCAGTGCCACAGCAGCATCAGCTGCTGCACGGCCCAGGACCAGTGACGGTAGCCGGCCTTTGGGGAAGATTGCTGAGAAAGTAGAAGCCGTGGTAGAGGGACAGCCAAAGGCCACCACAGAACTGCCGACTCTCGAACCAACAACCGACCAGCCTCCTCGTCCTCCTCCCGAAGCTCTCAAACTGGAAATACCAGGTAGCTTCCCGAATGTCGGAACCCCTCAGCTGGATCAAGCCGAAAACCCACTCTCGGCGGTCTCCAACGCCACTACGACCACAGAGTTCGACCCTGAGCAGCAAACTGAGCCCCCGAGGCCAGAGACAGGCACGGCGGCCATCGACAATGCGCTGGGAGTTATGGCACCGAGCTTGGTCCCGGCGCCTGCCGAACCAGAAACCCATGCGCCACAGATCGCCGAGCAGGTCCATGCTCCGGCACTGCAAGAAAGGGCCACGTATCGTTCACCATTCGATGACGACGGCGAGGAAGATGACAGCGTGTCCATCAAGATTTCACTTGATACATCTGCCCAACCCCAGATGTCACCCCAAGTAACACCAACCCGCACTGACTTCAATCACGAAGTCTCCCCTGCTCCTCCTCCGGCCGAAGACGATGAGTATGTGGCGCGGCCGTACACCTTCTCCTCTGCCAACTACGAAACAACAGTCACCATCTTAGGCCCCGAGAACGACTTTAGGCCGTTACACAATGACCTGCCTGGTACAACCGTACCATCAAGCACGCTACCTCACGATGAACTTCCCGTCAATGCCACCTCCCAGATTATTGCCGCTGAACTACCGCGCTCAAATGACGCTCATTTGGAGGACCGTGAGGCTGGGATCGAACAGCTTGGCCGGATTGAGGATTTTTATGTGGGATCGCGTCTGCATGAGAACATTGCGGCTTTGCGTAACTCGACCTTGACCTCCTCCGATCCTGGCATACCTCTTGATGAAGAGCCGTCTCCGGCAGACTACCACAAGATACCGGACACGTCGCACAGTTTATCAGTACCTTCATTACTGGCTCCGGCGAACCGCTTGAGCCAACACTCTGCATGGACCGACTTCTCTTTCGGCAGTGACGATCGTGATGCGGGTCTCCCAAGTGTCGCATTCCGGCCTCGTGAACCGGACAGCCACGATCGGGCGTCTTTCCGAATGGCAGCCTCAACGGGCGACCTTAGCACCTGCGATTCGAGCGTGGGAGAGCCCATCCAAAGCCCTGACATATCGCCGCTGGACAGGTCCGGCGCCCCGTCCCCGCCTATGCTGCCCACTTCGCCCAGTGGCCAGCAGAATCTCTCCCACCTCGAGAGCATCGAACACTCCGCGGCAAGCTGCGACTCGCAACTAGAGGGGATAGCGACGGCACCGGAACGTGCCCCTCCCGACCCGCCGTCTTCCATCAGCGTCTACGAGAGGGAGAGCACACTATACTTGGAGGAAAGCCGCCCTAGCAGCTACCTATACGACAACGACGACGAGGAGCAGCCGGTTGGAACCGGAGACCCGCAACGAGGTTCGCAACACGGCCTTGATTCTTTGGAGCCCTCCAGTGTTTCCCTGGGAGACACACTAGTAGAGAAACAGGTCCCCCTCACTAAAGCGGAGCAAGAAGAGCAGAAGAGGCTCAGGCAGCGGCAACTCGTCATCAGGGAACTCATTGACACCGAGGATGCCTTTGTCAGAGATATGAGCGTCGTGGAAGAAATCTACAAGGGAACTGCCGAGGCCTGTCCGAATCTGGATGCCAAGACAATCAAGGTGATCTTCAGGAACACGGATGAGATCATTGCCTTCCACGCCGCTCTCCTCATTGAGCTCAAAGAGGGCGCATCGGCGGTATATACTCCCAAGGGAAGAAGGTCGCCGCTTCTCGCCTCGGACTCCAAGGACTCCGACTCGGCAACCCTCAACTCGGTCATGTCTTCAAGTAGGCCTGACCGCGACGACGAGAAGGACCGTTTCACCTCGTTGGGCCCGGTGTTCTCCAAGAATATTGAGCAGCTTAAAGCCGTGCACGAAGCGTATTTGCGATCCAGCGACAACTCGTCGAAACGCCTGCTCCAGATCCAGGAGGACGAGGCTGTCATGGTCTGGCTCAACGAGTGCAACGCGGTGGCGAAAGAGCTGACATCCGCCTGGAACCTCGATTCGCTCCTTATCAAGCCGATGCAGCGCATAACCAAGTACCCCGACATCATCACTCATCTTCTCAAATACACTCCCGAGAACCATCCTGACCGAGAAGCGCTCATCCAAGCGAGGACGGCGGTCATGGATGCGATTGACGAGATCAACAGGACTAAAAAGAACTTTGAGCTCGTTGGTCAGATTGTCAACAACAGGAAGCGCAAGGAATCAGATGTCAGAGCGGGGCTTGCGAGAGCATTCGGCAAGCGCGTCGACAAGTTGCAAATCTCGGGTAAGACGGCCGAAGATGAAGAGTATCAGAGGCTCCAACAGCAATTTGGGGATGATTATCTGCGTCTCCAGGTTGTCTTGCGCGACGTTGAATACTACACCAGGAATGTGGCGACTTATGTACACGAATTCCTTCAATATCTGTCCTCGATGGAGCTTGTCATGCGCCTGCAGCCATCTCGAGACTATGCTCACCTGGAGAGCAAGTGGGTCCAGTTCAACGTCTCGATGCGAGATGTTGAGAAGATCGCATTAGAGAAACATGTGAGCCAATCCAACCCTTTGTCCGCTGTGTATTTACTAACAAAGTCACAGCTTTCTGATGTTCGCAAACACGTCATCGAGCCGTTTGAGCAGGTCATTAGGTGCTACGGCAACCCGTCCCTAGCTATGAAGAAGAGGGCTAAGCGGCGGCTGGATTACGAGAAGTTTCTGCAACTAAAGGCCAACGGCAAGAAAGTGGACAAGCAGCTCGCGGAGCTGGTCGAGCAATACGAGGCGCTTAACGACACCCTGAAGAAGGAGCTGCCGAAGCTCTCTGCCATGACTGCCCAGATCGGCAACATTTGTCTCGGAAAGTTCATCAGCATCCAGGCCTCTTGGTTTTTGATGTGGAAAGAGAAGGTCAAAGCGCCGCTCCATGACGTGGTTCACGTCCCCGAACTGTCTGAGATTGTGTCTACATTCCAGCGCGAGTTCTCCTTGCAGGATGAGCGGGCAAAAGCCTTGGGCATCCTCAACCCTACGCTCAGGAGCAGGGCGTCCCAGTCAACCAACGATGACTCCTCATCTATCAGATCGAGGACCAAGTCCCGCCCGAGCGATCTCTTAACGTCTCGCGGAAGAGGCTTGTCCATCAATAGCGATCACGCTCCAACCCTTCCCACTCCGGACTTTGCGAAGCGCAACAGCGGCCAATTCAGCCTCTCCCCTGCCAGCAGCGCCCTTCCCAGCCCAGGGCATTATTACCGCGACTACTACTCGGGTATTAACAGCGGCCCGCGGGGCGGCTCTGGTTCGCCCGTCACTCCGGATCCCAACAACCATCAAGGTAGCGCCACCGGGCTCCGCTCAGCCACGGTGCGCCCCAGCACGGGCCGCAGCTTTGACTCGGCTAGCCTCCCACGACAGAGTTCCGATTCGACTGCCACGCCGTCCACCCCTGGGATGAGCATGGGCATTGGCATGATGGGGGGTAGCCGCCGCGACTCCAACTCGACATTCAACTCGAGCTATCCTGCGCCTGTTTCTGGAGGCCCCGAGCAAACTAGACGCCTGTCGGGCCTTTTCCACTCTGCCCTGCCCCTCCCCGATGGGCCGGAGGAGAACCACGCGGAGGATTCCGTGGCTTCGTCCCGTGGTTCATTCGCGCAGGGCAATGTGGGAAATGGTGGCGGGTATAATGTCCTCTGGCTGGCGGCCAGTTTGTTCGAGTTCAATATTGAAACTACAAAACATGAGGCCGGGTATCCTTACCTGACTTATCAGGCCGGGGAGGTACGTTTATTTCTTTCTTCCCTTGCTTTCTACCCTCCTTTTGATCTTGGTTTCTGGCTATGCGGATTTTGAGGTGCGATGGAACAGAGCCGAATGGGGAATAAACTAGACGATGCTGACAATTGCGGTTTTCCAAAACACAGATCTTTGATGTTATCGCCGAGAAGGGCGAGCTGTGGCTGGCAAAGAACCAGGATGACCCGCGTGGCGTTGTCGGCTGGATCTGGTCCAAACACTTTGCCAAGCTGGCGGACTCATGATGGCGCGCTGCGGTCGCGGTTGGGATCATGATGCATGCATGATATTTGATGAATACGGCACCTTTGCTTTACTTACTTAGCGGCCATGTCTAGTCGCCTGGACGGCGGTGCTACTACCTAGGGGATCAGCCTACAGGTTCTGATTTCCCCTCTTCTCTCTAAATTTTTCTTGTTCTATTTAGGTCACTGAGTTGAGAAGAGGTCTTGTTGTCACAACCTCTTAGTGGCGGGGCCTACTTTTTGCAGGCTTGGTCTGGACTTGGTTGGGGTCTCTAGCAAGCATGGCGTTTCAAGAGTTAAGAGTTGGTTTGTCTATTTATGTTGGGGCTGGCTTGGTAATGGGTCGGCCAAAGACAGGTTTTCAAATGTCTCGGAGGGTTTTGGAGGTCAGAAACAGGGGGGTACTGAATGGATGGATGGATTGATGGTTTGATCAGACGGAACTGGACTCTTCCCTGGCGCTTTAAGACTACGTACGCCTCCTTATTTTCTTTCAACCTATGTGGTGTCTCTTGACAGACAGACATGATGGCCATGGTATGGGGGCTTCGGGTTACAGAAAAGTACCTTAACTTGCTTACCCTACTACTTAGTACTACTACTAGCTTCGTGACTAGTTAGCAGGGAGGGAGGCTACTTTTTACTTTTTACTTTTGTCTTTCGCTTGCCAGTTGATACCGCGAGTGATTCCCGGCGGCCGGCTTTACTTTCCCTCGCCCCCCGCGATCTTCTTCACCTTGGATGCTTGGTTCTTGATTGTATGTACTACTTACTTACCTTACATGTCTACACCTGACTTTTACTTTCTTATTCTTTGCTTGCGAGAAAGGTCAGGTTTTGTTGCCCAAAGAGGAGGAACTCACTGAGAAGAGAAGATGGGTGGGAAAGTGAGGGTTTGGTGGGGGGGGAAGGGATAAACGGCGGCGATGCAACCTTTGGAATGGAATGGGACGCCCCTGAGACGAAGGAATGAACGAACGAGTGTGTTTTGGTTGAATGGGAGTCTTTATCACTTCTTTTTGTTAAGCAATGGTTGGCAAGCAGACAGGTTTGGGGAATACATACCTTTTGATGGGGTTGATAAACTTGATGTTGGGATTTATTGGTTTGACGGGACTGGTTGAGTTTTGGGTTGGAAGCTATGGGACATGGCAAGAGGCAAGACAGGATAAGACGAGAAGGCTTCCTCATACTCATTATTTGCTTATGTCTGTAGAACGTCCGTTTTTGGCGGTTTTGATGGGGTTTTGTTGGTTCAAGCAATGATAACATCTAGTCAGATGTGGACTTTGAAGCAGGCTCAGCAGTGGCTTATGCTCTAATTTGCAGTGGCTGTATCCCGTATGCAACCACCTACCAAACGCTAGCCATGATCTTTGCTTACATACTTGATTGCTGTAGTGATTTTATTTGGTTGCTTGGCCGACTGCTTTGGGAAACATTGCATTTCGGATACCGCTGATGCCGGTTTCTGAAAACATGCCCCTCTTGTCACCTACCTACCGGGTGTGGTGCTAAGTTGATTGGTAAGCACACCAGCGCTGAGGATTGCGAAAATGAAGAGGAAGGGAAAAAGAAAATTGAAGTTGAATTCGTGAAGGTTTGACGTCACGCCCCGGCCGGCTGGCATTCCGGAGCCGGGCCGGGCCGGGCACCGCCACCCCCCCGGGGTCCAGTCTGAGCAACGGGGTCCGAGCACGACTCTCGGCATTGGTAATCGTGTCCAACCTTTTCTCTCCTTTTCTCTCCAGGGAGCTCGCGGGGCGCTTTTTCGGCAATTGCAGGGGGTGCAATTCATTGAAGTCGTCGGATGGGGGAGAGGGGAGGACTCGTTGTAGCTACCGAAAGCGGTAGCAGTAAGTAGTCGGTAGCTCAGACGGAGTTTCAGAGCCGTCGATCATCAATGGTTCCCGGATGGTTTGCTGAGTATAAAAACTACACTGCACAGGCAAACGTGGCAAAGAAACTGAATGATGTGTAGGGTACGATCTGCTGAGTCCTCGCGAGCACGTTGATGAGTTCGAGATGGCAGATCATAAGCATGTAGTGTAGGTTATGTGTGTGATCGCGTCCCATCATCCCATCCTCTCCCGGTACTCGGGATTGCTCCCGCGCAATCGGCATTCGAGTTTCCTTCCGACACTTTTTCCTTTCGTAGATGACCTTGTCTGATCGACCCCTTGCTCTGACTGGTATCCATGTCCCCTTGTCCAAAAGCCATACGTCCAGATGCACAGGGGTCGGCGTGCACGAACACCATTCCATGATCCATGCTGCGGCTGCAGTCTCCTCAAACCCCCTAGTCATCATGACAGTGTACTGGGTGATCGAGATCTCGTCGATTGTCTTGTGCCCAATCGCCAATTTTTGGCGGCATTGATCGCCGATACCGCGCGTTCTTCTAGAAGTCTTCTGATTCTGTCATTATTTCACTTTTTGCGTCTTGGACCGTGCTCAAACCTATTACAGTGTTAGTCTCCTGCCAGATCATGTAGATCCGTGAGCATGAGAGATCAGGCCCGCGTTTGAAGATGCGAGTAAGTTCAGAGCTTACAGGGCTGTGACAACTGACCCGGCCGACTAGCAACGTCAAGCTCGACGCCCCGTTCACATTGGGACGGTTATGTCACATGCTCCTCCAGATGTTTCCCATGGGGCGTGTCACCTGGACCTAGGCCACGCATCTAGAGGTTTTTGAGAACATGGAGCGCATCAACCACGGGTAGAGTTATCTGGACACGGGCCGCCGGGTGGGCCGATTAACGCTAGCCCAACTGACTGTTGGGACAACACGACCCGGTTTGGTAGCTGGCCACAACCAGAGTAGACTGCAACTTCTGGCCCCGCCACCAGGGAGATCGAGAGACTGGTTCGATTCTGTCCAGGGCTCCCGGTATCCAAATGGCTCGGTGACCTCGTCCCTACCGAGGAGAAAGAGGAGCGGGGAGTGCCCAGAAAGATAGCCCAGCGAGCGAATGAGGTAGAACAATGCAATATACTCCTCACCATCTGTTATGGACCGAAATCTCGCCGGCATGGTGGCGCTTAAGCTGTATGGGCAGTCTGTCGTAACTGCATGCACCTTGGATTCCCCCTTTAGCAGAAGTGACTTCCAAACCGTGCTTGCTCGACCGTCTCGCAACGGAATGTACGACAGCCACCGTCTATCTCCTTGCCCAGGCCACAGCACAACGTTCTAAAGAGGCCCAGGCTCCTGCGTTTCCATTCCTGCCCAGCTCGATTCGATCCAGTTCCAGTATGCATCCGACGGTAGCCCCTAGCAATCATCATCTGGAGCAGGGCTTGGGATTTCTTGCCCTGCGTACCCATTCCATCCATCAGGATGAAGGTGGATGGCATCAAAGATCCCGCTTTGCGTTTGATTCGATGGAGGGGTTGTCGGCCCAACTAGACCCATGGGGGAAGCTGGTATGGCTCTCCGCGCGATTTGGCAATCCTTCTGCCTGTCGGTCAACTGATCCCCCCTGTCCATATCGCTCACGAAGAGAATAGAATCGCTACCGCACGCTATGGGGAAGCCAGGGTACATAGGTCGAAGTCCGCCTATAGGATAAGGGAAGGCCACGCACTGTACTGTAAGGCCTCCCTTACTGGAAACTCCGGACTGCATTCTTGCTGTTTCTTACCCCCCTCCTCAGCAACCGTCATGGCCCCACGATGCCAGACTAGTCGCTTTGCACGGCCGATCTGCGGTTGCGCTTTGAGCCGAGGCAGCTATTGGGCAATGCTGTTCACCACTGATGGCAAGACCCATGGGCATCGCCATCATGGTACCGAATCCGGCCCCATCCATGCTGGCCAAGTCCTCGGCGATGTCTCCATCATGGTGAGGGCACTCGGTCTCGACTGGCAATGGCAAGACCGGCAATACGACGGCAAGCGTGTACTGCGTGGTAAGAGCCGGGCCACACAGCGAGCAAGGATTTGGCAGCCATAATACTGAGTGGAGGGGGGGCATAACAGCAAAGCCGGGCTCGTGACTCGCGAGGATTCCCAGGTGGGAGAGGTCTAGTTTCTTGTCTTTCCTGCTGCTTAGGGTTTCCGGACATCCGCACTGAGAGCGGCTGGCCCAACAGCTGACACCCCACGCTGTGGCTATAGGCCGATCCTGACGCGATGCAGCTACCCTCGGCGGCCAGTACCGGCCCGTGGTGGACCATGTTGGTGACTGGGCAACTGGCCACAGGAGACCAGAGATTGGATAGCGGGAAGAGCAGCGAAAGGGCGGGGACGAGCCACCGCCCTATCGAAGACCCATAGCGGAAACGGATGAGCGGATAAACAACCACAGAGATCCCGTTGTACCAGCGTTCGGAAGAAGGACGGCACACTTTCAAGAACAAACACAAGTGACTCTTGAGCAGCCCAAGTGTCTCGGAGACGGCCCCTTCCGCTTCCACAATTGCAGCTTTCGCCGAAACGAGGCGAAGAGCTGGTGGATAGAGCTCACAAGGTTGTCTGCAAACAAAATCCGGGTTAGCTGTCCGCGCTCTGGTGAGACAGTACAGTGTGGAGGGACGGAATCTTCCCGTATTTCAAATTCATGCCAAGAGGGAGGCAATCTCATATGCGGGCTGGACGACTGCAGACGGGAAGCAGTATTACCTGAGAGCCGGCGGGCGCACCAGAGCCGCTCCTTCTCAACCCAGACCCGGATCCTATCAATGCTGCGGGCCTGTCGACTAGATGCCGTTTGCGTATTGTCCAACGCCCGGTGCAAGCGTAAACCCTGACAACCCGGTCATGGTCCCTGATGGTGTTCCGATCGGCGACGGTATAGCGGGAATATCAGACGAGCTCTTAAGACCACATGTCAGTGCGAAAGATGGGCGCAACCCGGTTGCTCAGAGAGAGCGCTCTGCTGTCGTGGCCTTTCAGCATCGCATGAATGCGCATGGAAGAAGAGCGCCCGGACTGTCTGGAATGTGCACGGATATGGAACGTCTGGAAGCCTTCCTCAAGCGTAGTCTGCCAAGACAGGCGTTCTGTGAAGGCGTCATCAGTACAACCGTGCGTACAAAAATCAGAGATCTGTTGTCGTTGCAGTAAATTGGCTGGACTTTTGGCCTTGTTGAGTCGATAGGTGGAGGCTGAAAACGCCGGGAGAGGCCAATCCCGTCTGCACCACGACGCCAAGAAGCGAGTGTCTCTCGACACATTCGTGCGCCAAAGCAACGATCTGTCAGTCAAGACTCAGCGCTGTCAGGTCGCGTGGCGAGATGAGGGAGGGAGTCCGCGCTGACGATGAAGCAGATTCTGGGATTGATGAGATGCTGAATTCATGATTTGGGCCCAATACCAAAGAGCCCGACCTGCCAAAACCGTCACTAAGAGCTGTGGCTTGAGCCCGTTGAGATGATTGACAGCTCTGCCAGGTACCGCCTTCCTTGCCCAGAGACAGGGCGGTGACAAGCAAGCTTTTGATCGAGGTGATTTTCTCCCATGATCCCGGCTTGCATTCCCGCCGAAATGTGCCCTGCCACATGCGGAGATGCTTGGGGTTGCGTGCATGACATGGAGCGCGCCTCCCGTTTGAGCATTTTATGGAGTCTGGAACTCTGGATGGCCTTTACCGGGACAATACGTTGAGACGTTGCCTGCACATTATTATTCCTTGTTTAGTAGTCAAATGGGATCAAGAAGCGGTCAGGTACGCACGTACATCTATAAGTGTGGCTTCGAAGGAACATTATCCGTATAGACGTTGTACATACGGATATGGGACAACAAACGGCCGACATCACGACCCGGAAAAGACGGGAAAAGTGCACCTCGGGTTCGCACAGACTGTGAGACACAATTCCCGGGCCCAGGGCACGCACGCTGCCAGTTTGGCGATCCGAGAAATTCAGATGTGCAATTCCCATTTTGGGCCTTTTTCACTTTTTGATTTTCGCTCTTTCGGGCGTCCTGTAACTCGTTTGGGGGATCGCCACCCACAATCGTCCATTCTTGGCACGGGAAGGCACCACCATCGGCCGAGACGTTCTGCCACCCGCGAGTGTCTGTGCGCTAGCATTTCCATGGCACTTTCCCAATCAACGATCCTTGTCCTTTCCCTCTACCTCCGTATGTAATCAATATCAGATGAACTTTGGCGGGCAGGTGACGCCACCTCAGGTACCTTACATAGATTTATAACTGATGATATTACTACACCTTCTTACAGAGTATGAATACTACCACATATGGTAGTACCCAAGTTCCATACGAGGAGTTAGCGTAAAAGTACTTGGCTAGGCACAGTGTAATTATGACACTGTGCGCGGTTGGCTTTACTCCAAACTGAATCCAATGCAGCGTGGTGTAAATTACAGTAACGTAGTTGGCATATAACGGACTGTGTATTGTACTGTGATACCGTACGCTACGTTACCCAGCACTTGCAAAGACCGTAATGAATAGCGTTTGAAGCCAGCGGCCAGGCACGGTCCATATTCACTTGCCGAATGACCGGCTCGGAGCCTAGTTGAACTTGTACTCTTATGTATTACGGTTTCCGAGTCTTTGAGGTCAGGAAATCACGGTAAGCTGTGGCTTAAGGACAAAACTAGTGTAATGGAAGAGATGGGCACCGAGTTTCTGTTTGAGAACGAGAGTTTGATAACTAAGGTATGCCAAGGACCTTGAAGCATCATATACCTACTTCCCCGCCATCTGTCGCCAGAAATAACCTGCAAAAACATGTCCATACTACATGCGGTCGCAACAGGCAACAGGACAGATAGGTATGCGCTCTTATTACGGACTCGGGACCTGTTCAGAGTCTATGCTGATTGGGTACTTGCGGCTGATATCAACATCCTTATAGCGTTGAGTAGCAGGGATCTTGCCGCAGGAAACGAGTCCTCGAGCTACTCCAATCAATTGATCTGCTTGGCGAGACCAGTGCAACCTACCTAGGCTCTAGCAGTGCCGGCCTTGCGACAAAGAGGTTGTGCGGCAAACTGAGAGGGCTGCCGGTGTTGTCGAATAGGAACGTGTCCAGCCCGCCGTGAAGAAGCACGCCACTGCCGTGCATGCCGCTCAAGCGCACACCGACGTTCTTACCGCATTACATACACAGTACATACCTATGGTATGCAGTACTCGGATTGTTGGAGCAAATGCGGCTTTCTACGGGGAGACGGGAGGCCTGGCTCAGATGAGAAGCTGTGGCGACCACCACTGCAGGCTGACAATCGCCCCAAAACGAGGTATGTAGCGAAGGGTTATAATAATCCAGCTAACGTTACCTATAATAGGAGCTCGCCTCTGCTGTGTCGTGTGGGCCGACCTAAGAACCTGGAATCGCCGCGGGAGCTTGATTGCAATATATAAGCAGGCGCAGTCTATGACTGGTGTCCGCTGGGGTGGGTGCGTCCACTTGCTCGTCGAGCCGCATATACCGTGCCGAGGAACCAATGAGACTGAGAATTGGGTGTCATGCTGCCGCGCCGGTGAAATGACAGAGCCCAGGTTGTCATCAGGGAGTTGCATGGGCTGCATCGCCGATGGGGCTACCTATGTATGTAGGTAGTGTGTCATGCAGGGTATGTTAGTACTGAATGGTAGGTGTGAGCTCCCGCTCTAACGGAAGCAAAATGGGATCATGGCTACACAGCACAATACATACCTGCGAATACTATGTAGGTAATGTGGCTCAAGGTGGCTTACCGGCCGCGGGGTTACCAACGGCCGCTCGACTGCATAGCTTCAAGGTTGTGTTGGAGGTTGGGACGTTGGCGCTAGAAGCATTGGAGACATTCCGGTCTCGCGCAGTGTCTCGGACGGGAAGCGAGGATGGTGGAAGACAATGGACGGGTGAAGCCGTTAACAACTTCCAGGTTGGATTGCAGATCAGTACGTATCTCAGTTTGCTATCTGGTATGTGAAGGAGGGTAGTGGAAGTTGTGCAACCTGCAGTCATTGATTTCTTACCTCCTACCTTAGCTACCTGCCTGCAGCAGCAGGTGTTCAAGGTTGACTTTCCTGGTCGGCACGGGCGCGGCGGGCATTCCGGGCTGGCACTTTTGAGACCCCGGTAAGGTTAGGTCTTTCTTCGGGATACCCTTGTCCGCTTCCGCGTCCAACGCACCGCATGGAGACCACCTAGCCTCGCCAACTTGTGCGCTCTGTTTTGCAAGCTTTCGGCGTCGTCCATTTTGTCTGGTTGAATTCTGCTCAAGTTACTAAGGTAGGTTAGGTACAGTACAGTACATTGGTATAGTTCTCGCAGGACAAAGCGGCACACCTAAAACCGGGTTCAGGCCAACGTCCCCAACGGCATTCACCGCTCAAATGCTTCAAGGCGAAGCAGTATAGACTGAGACCACGTAGGTTTGTAGTGTAGTGTATGCATGTATGTACTGTATGTACATACATACAATACATGGCACCTATGTAAGTCGCCCAGGTTCGTGCAGAGACACATCGTCATGGCCGGGAGTGTCCGTGCCAGCCCCGAGTTGTCTGTTCCCGGTCCTGCTCCTTTGACTTCTTTTATGGCCGACCGGGGAAGGGTGTGTTTTAGTAGGGCTGACGGTTGTAAACCAGACTCGTCATCCTCGCGGAATCATGCAAGCTCCGAGTCGCTTGCTTGATCTCAGGAGCTTTCCCGCTGATCAGGACACTGTGGTCATCGACGCCCAGGCCCAAACTGTTGTTAAAGTCTCTTTTGGCTTTTCTGTGCTTGATGAATGGAGCTGTGGCTGCGGCTGAGATGTCTAAAGCTACGTACGAAGTACGGAGTACGGAGGTAGACCCGCCCTGAATCTCTTACAGTACTGTACCATAACGATGCTCCTACCACATTACACTATTATGTTAGGTAATTACCGTACTAATTAGTAGTATGTGACGTTACAGGCCAGGCGACACTGTGGTGGGATTGCAAGACTGCTCTGACCGGAAAACACCTGTTCAAAGCGGGTCCTGTATTTTTGATAGTAGGGTGCCTCGTGAGCGCGCAACATCTGCCATTGAGCCCAAAACTCTCCTCTAGATATTGGCCTGCGTATGGCATGCGCGTACCTAGAAACCACATATATATAGGTAATCTGACCTGTAGAATCTAAATCTCTAGTCGGATTGATGGCGTATGCACTATGCATAGAGATATCGATGACTCGTTTTTGTTATAGCTTTTCATGATATTTCAAACATTTTTCGCGAAATTTCAATCTTCTTGGCACTTCTTGGCAAAACTAGCATGAAAGCGCCCAGTTTTCAAGTCATCGATATCTCTATGTGTATTGTGCGTGCTATCAATTTGACTAGAGATTTAGATTCTATAGGTTAGATTACCTATATATACGTAGTTTCTAGGTACGTGCATGCTATATGTAGGCTAATATCTAGAGGAGAGTTTTGGGCTCAATTGTAGTTGAGTCGACTTGCTGCGCGCTCGCGGGGCACCCTACTATCAAAAGTTGGACCCACTTTGACCTGGTGTTTTCCGGTCAGAGTGGCACAGTGTGTGCGACGGAGATTTGCTCTGCTATGACATTTGCACTGTATGTACAGTACGTCCACGACGTTAGTGAAATGCATGTGTAAAACGCAGGAAGCTTTCCTGCCCAAGTCCTCGGACACATCGACAATCAATCATAAGCGCTTCTCCACACCACGGCCTTCATCTCTAAACCAATGCGCCGGGCGATTCTACAACGGCGCAACAACACCAGTAGCAGAGACGGTTTCACTTCTGGAGGGTGAGCTCCATGACAGCGGAGAAGGTATAAAGCGCAGTAGTGCCCCTCGTTCAAGTGCCAAGTCTGGGGTCCTCAGCTCATTCATCTCTGGCCCAACACCAGCCGCCCCTCCTTGACCGCGACTGATCGCGTCGGCCCTTTGTCGCTTCCTGGAAAGCTCCCATAGCCTGTCTGCATTGTCCAGTCCCGTTCGGTGATTGCCGTCTCAACGGCCCCATTCTTAATCGCCACCGCAGGTCGTCGATATCCAACGACAGGACCGAAATCCAACGATTTGTCTTTGATCCGCAAACGGCGCCGTCCCAAGGGACTCGACGTCTAATAAACATGCATCAACCACCGTATCCCCCCGGTCAGACACAACCCCTTCCTCCCGACATGCACCAGCACCCTCACCAGCCGCCGTATCCCGCCCATCAGATGCAGCAGCTTCCCTCGATGCCGCCTCCGGGCCCATCCTACCCAGATAGCGTTCCGATGGCCGGTCCCGGAGCGCTGCAACAGGGGCAGCCCGCCGATAGCAGCCAGCCAGCCGCATCCCAGTCGCAAGAACGAGCGCCGCTCACCCCGGAGCAGCTACGCCAACAGGAAATCAACCTCAAGCCTTACTCATCAGAGGACGGCCAAGGGCGCATATACTCGTAAGTTATTTTTCCCCGACTTTCGCCATCACTCGAGGCTTCATTGTCGCCGATGCTGTCCCGCCCGCTTCGGCTGGCTCTGCCGAGGCTAGTTCTTGGTCGCGTGCTCCCCCGATCTTCGTAACAAAGGCTAATCCCAACCCCCGGTAGACTTGACGTTGTGCAACAGCCACAACGTGCGCGGATGTGCGGGTTTGGCGACAAGGTACGCTATTTCTTCTTAGAGCTGGCTCACTCGGGTTTCCAGTCGGCACAGGGGCTTACTTCCAGACAGGACCGTCGGCCCATCACACCTCCACCCTGTGTCAGACTAATAGTGAGGGATGCAAAGACCGGGAAGGAGATTGACTGCAAGTGAGTTCTCCCTGGCGGACTGCTCGCCCTGCTTGAGGCTCTGGACTGACCAGGCGCTTATGACATGGAAAAGTGAAATCGAACACACCATGTATGTGCTCAATGTCGATTTATGGTCCGAGGACGCCCTAAAGGAAGTCAATCTGGTCCGGCATACGACTGCAACGCCTTCTATATCATCGACATCGCCAGCATCCTACGCCCAGATTGAGCAGGCAACCCCCGCGTATTCCCATATCCTACCCTCCAGCCGTGACGTCGGCTACGCATCTCAGCAGGTCGGCTATCCTCCTCCAGGCCAAGCAATTAGCCCCTACGGCATGCAGCAGCCATACGCGCCAGGTAAGGCTCTCCCCACCCCCCAAATCATCATTTGTTACACTACTCTCTGGAACGCCACGAGTGTGCCGACCCTCGCGAAATAATACTAGTGCCTTGGCTGACCAACGAACAACAAGCGGGTTTTGTATCGCCTAATGGAACCAGCTATCAACCGCCTAACCAGTACTATCCCCAAGAACTTCGGCCGGAATTGCAAGGCCTCACCCAGCTCGTCCCTCAGCCCTACGGACATCCGCGTATATACGACCATCAGTTCAGCACCGTGGCTCAACGTATGTCCATCAGTGGCAGCCAACCGCAGGGCATGTTCACCCGAAACCTCATTGGGAGCCTGGCCGCGAGCGCTTTCCGTCTTACCGATACCCAGGATAAGATTGGCATCTGGTTCATTCTCCAGGATCTCAGTGTCCGCACTGAGGGCTGCTTTAGGTAAGTCCTTGAAAGCTCAGATCCGCACTCCTTTCAAGCATGGATGAAGACTAATCTTCCTGATAAATCAGACTACGTTTTTCTTTTGTGAATGTTGCTCCCAACCAGCCGAACAGCCCCGTCAACGTGGGCAAGGCTCCCGTCCTAGCCTCAGTGTTTAGCGACGTCTTCCAGGTCTATTCGGCAAAGAAGTTCCCGGGCGTTTGCGAGAGCACCGCGCTCAGCAAATGCTTCGCCAGCCAGGGCATCAAGATACCCATCCGTAAGGAGGGCCAAAACAAGAACTCTAACCAAGATGATGACGACTACGACTAGAATTCGTCGTCTTTCTGATTATTTCTAAAGCTGCCGCTCAGCTCTTCCGATTCACTGCGGCTGAGGAAGTACTGCGGCAGCCCTTAACACCAGGGAATGAATGAAAGGAAGATGGATGCATTTATGTCGCGCGTTGTGGGTTTCATAGACGAGCAGCGGCCTCCATGGGCAGGATTCATCGTCACCTTCCATCCGTTGCCTCGCCCTACTCCCCCCCCCCCTGGATGGGGCCGTATAGACTGGAAGACGGAAGCGGGTGGAATCACGGAGCATTTGAGAGGATGGGCGGTTGGGGTCGGGGAAGGCTTTTTGTCGTCAAGAGTTTGTTTGTCTTCAATTTTCCAAGAAACGGTGTGCTAGTTTTAAAACGACCATGATTTTGGGATAGCGTGTACCAATGCGGAGGTGTGGGAGAGCGGCTGGGCCAACAGCTTCTTCGATTCGAGGGCAGCGATATCCCATTTCCCACGTTGCGAGTCAGTTTTAAACCACTTCCGATGCCAGAGTAGACAGAGGGAATGGTAGATTGGATAGATGGGGTATGTATGTACATACACAGCCTTGTCATTTTCTGTATCAGAGTCGAGCGTGTTGTCTTATGTCTCGAGGTTTACTCTCACTTGCTGGGTACGACAACTGAAGTGTGTTGCGACTTCTCTGCAAGGTGTGTATTGCAAATTGGCCCCATTGTCGATTATCTAACGTCTGCTCATGATAAAATAACCTACACGTTCTCGCGGTGATGATCCGTCTTGCCTATTAGTAGTGTAGAAGGTCAATATTTCCCCGTAAGCCATGGAAAGCCATTGGCACATTCGCCAGGGATTCTTCTTCCTTTACCCCTTTTGGGGTTTTGGTGGCTGATGACGTGCAGCGGGTTATCCCCGGGGTGGCATTCCCCCTCCAGTTCGCGCATGTCGCTCATCCGACGAAGTAACTGTGCCCGACAGCGCAAATCCAACACCACATCCAGTCTCGTCGTCACATGGGGTAGCCTCCGTATCCGTGATAGTTGCATTGGACGAAACATTATCCTTATTTCGTATGTACAGTACATACAATACACTATAACATCACAAGTCCATGTCAGCTGTATATATCCTAATTTCCCTAAACCCTATGTCTAGGTACCTAAGAGCTTGAACTAGACATGTGCAAAGGGTCTCAGGTAAGGTAGGTAGTTTGCGTACTATGAACCATCTGGCAGCGATAGGGGTGAATTCATAGTACCTACCTATGGGGCTAAGTTAGGATCCAGTTATAGTGTGGTAACTTGGTGTCTTCATTCTACATACCTAGGACATTCAGCTAAAGATTGGATGGACCAGATGGCTTTCTAGCGCCGGAATATTATGCGATAGGGCTAACCTGGAACCACCTAAAATGTGGGACACGCCAAAGTGCTGGAAACTTCGCATGATCACGGTTGGGCCCCGTGACTTTTGCGGCGCAGCCGGTTGGACGGATCACGGATCACGAACTCGGTACGGAGTTGCGTTCGTATTGTATGGATGTACTTAACGTAAGAACGTACAGTACAGTACACTACTTTGGTAGCAAATTATTACAGAATACAATGCACTTCGTAACGATGCTGACCCCACTCTCATTAAGGGGGTGATTACCGTAACGTACAGAAAGGTTCTTCGTAAGTTACAGCGCAAACAGGGGAAGCGTAGGATTTCGCAATCAGCACGACAAATGCCAAGCTGAATGACACCATCTGGCAAACTGGCAACAACGCAAGTGTACCCAACGAGACGACTTTCTGTTCCCTGATTGCGCATAGGGAAGCGGCACTATTTATCCAGTCATTGACGCCTACAGCCATGCTGGGCAAACCAGGCTGCGCCCGGGCTCTTCGCCATGGTTGAGGGGCAATGAGGGGCATGAAAATTCCCAGGATGCCCAGCTGATCTCAAGCGCCCAGGCCAAGAACGGGTCCCCAGAACTAGCAGATCTTTGTTTGATGTTCTTACTGCAAATACGCAGGGAGAAGGCTGTTAAAGAAAAAAATTCGTCCTTCTTGTGATCAATTTTCACTGGCCCTTCCCACTGTCAATGCTGCTTGGTTTTGGCTCAGCATACGACTAATTTAGGAATTCAAGGCGGGACAGCAAGCACCTTGTTGCCCGGATTCCAAGACAAACACTCTCAGGGTTCTGGATATAACCCAGCTTGCGCCTTGGGTTGTTGTTGCTCCCCTCACTCATCGATCATCAACCTGCATACCATCAGTCAACAATAATCACAATCACTTGAACAGAAAAAGGCTCTCTCGTCTCTGATCGCGACCTCAGCCACTATGTCCTCGAACCTACTGTCTTCCGGGCGCGGCGGGGCCGGCAACATCGTTGATAGCTCAAAGACGTCGCAGATTCAGCCCAAAGATCTGCAGACGCCGACTCTCAAGACGAATGCCATGGTAACCACAGGCCGCGGCGGGACAGGCAACATGGCGGCGAATCTGGATGCGGAGGAGAAGCGCAGGCGCCAAGACGTCGAGCCGTGAGTTGTGACACCAAAAAAAAAATCCTACCCACCACTTCGGAACCATCCGCCGAGGCTAACCAGGGGACGCTGCAGCGTTGTTCGCCGTGAGAGCCACGGCGCAGCTCACTTTGGCCGTGGAGGCACGGGAAACGTCGCCAAGTCTGGGTCTGGCGGCGAAGATGAAAAGAATGCTCTTGCACGGGTTCGCAGTGCGGCGGAAAAGGAGCGCCAGGAGAAGGGGAAGGGAAAGGAGAAGGAGGATTCTGAGGCGGTCGTGGACGACGACAGGCCGGCGGCGGCTGATTCGCGCAAGTCGGAAGAGCCGAGCCCGAGCTGGGCCGAGAAGGGCAGGAACCTGCTCTTTGGGAAGAAATAGCCCAGATTGGCTGGTATACAGGGGGAGGTTCTGGCGGTCTTCTGATTTTATTCCTTTCTCTTGTGGTTCTTGTCGTCGCAGCTTTTCACATACCCCGGTGTTGGCGTTGAAAATGAGGTTGGGTCTAGGGCTCGTCATACATGGAGGGTCTGGTCGGATTATCAGAGTATTGAGGTCGACGAGCTTCTGGCAATCTGTCATAGGCCGACAACAAGGCCAATCGTACTCAGTTGCCGTTATAGGGGTCTACCTATGGTTTGCGAATCAATCGAACCCCTCACGGACATCCGCACCCCGTAATGAGGGTCGTCCGAACCGTCCTCCATCTTAGCCGTGCCGAACAGATACATCAATGACACCATCCCGAGTCTCTGGATCCCGAGAAGTCGCCTCCACCCTCCACAACCTCCACGGTACCGCCCCTTCTCCCATCCCATCCACCACTTTCCACTGTTCCAGGTATGCAACCCGCAGCCCCACCTTCAACTCCAACCCCAACTCCTACATCAATTCATAACAGGTTCATATATGATATGACTGACTACCCTTGAAACTAGCCACCTCAAGGACCCTTAAACAATGAACCACCCACAAGCATCGGGAATAGACATAACAGACCTCCCCATCATCCCTCCAGCAGGAGGAGACTCTGACCTGCTCATCACCCGCCTGCAAGCGCACCTGCCCTATTCCCTGCCATTGCTCCGCCGCCTGCAATGTGCTCGCAACCTCCCCGGCGGCTGCACGCCGCACGCCCACGTGCTGTGTGCGTCGTATGCACAAGAACAAGGCGAGGCGGGAAATGGGGAAAGAAGTGTCGTTGTTGTTGTTGTTGACCAGCAGCAGGCCAAGTCCAAGGACTGTGAGGAGTTTGCCGCGGCGTACGTCGACCTCTCGTGCGCGCCCGAGACGCAGTGCTGGATATACTCTACCCTTGAGGACGGGGTTACTACTACTACAACTGGCGGGAAGGGTGGTGGCGACGGGGTTGGGGAGGGGGACGAGAGGGAGGAGGACGGGATCGGTTTGGTCTTGGCTCTGTTGAGGCGGGTGAGGGCTGTTGCGCTTGCTGGCAGCTGTCAGGAGGGCGGTGGTGAGGGTATGAGTGCGGATTGGAAGGGGAAGGAGAAGGAGGCGGTCGTGCTGGTCGGCTCGCTGCACGAAGCCATCCGTCAGAGACTCCTGGCGAGCGGGGTGCGCATGGCCAAGCCGGCGAACGGGCCTGCCGACCAGGACTGGGAGCTTTGTGACAAATGGCTGTTTAGGATTGAGGATTTTCCCTTGCCCTTGCATTTGCCCGGTAGTGAGGAGGATAGGGGTTGGGGGTCGCAGATACCGCTGCCGGAGGGTATGCGGTGGGATAGGGTGCAGAGGCAGGATCTGGGCTTGGTGCTCGACCGAACTGATATCAAGAGGAGGAAGGAGTAAGTGTTATGCTTTTGTTTCCACCTCCCTCTTCTTCTTCTTCTTCTTCTTCTTCTTCTTCTTCTTCTTCTTCTTCTTCTTCTT